CCACACAGGTAAAAAGCTCTGTCCTTGTGGGGATGTGCATCGTTAAAGCCTAGCATCGCTTGTAGAGATGTAAATGTGTGAGGAACTTCACCTTCACTCCTGATTTCAGAGAGTATCTTGAGAGCACAGCCTCTGTGAATGTGTGGTAAATTCAGAGGAGCAAACCCAGGTCTGCTTGTATGAAATTAGATTTTGTGAGCCAGGTTTAGGTCTGGCATAACAGATGACTTGTGTTTTGGATGTTTGCGATGGGCAGTACTGTAAACAGAGAAGGTGTAGCAAGAGGCTTGGGCCTAAGAAGGATGTCGCAGAATTGCCATCGAGCAGCTGGATCTGTAGGTGCAGGGCATTTATGAAGATAGTGGATCCATTTATGTGTATGTATATTCTTCCGGCAGGGTAAAGGAGATGCAGTTGTTGTTACTGAGGCCTAGTCCAGGGGGGCGCGAGGTGATAGATGCTTTCAGTTGCAAAGCAGCAGAGCACGGGAACCGTGCAGGGGCTGAGCACCGATTCCTAGCCCAGCGTGTCGCCCGCTCCCATCGATCCGGGTTATTGCCACGTGATGGATGCTCAGCCTTTTGGAGAGATGCTCTTCTGGGACATGAGCGCTGAAAGCCGCGGCTGGCTGTAAGGAGAAGAGCAAACAATGGAGCATTTTACACGTTGCCAGGGGTGGGTGAAATGCAACAACAGAGAAGCCATCGGCAGAGTGCCGCCGGGGCTGTAAACTTTCCTTTGATAAGTGGCTTAAAAACCTGAGACCTGTTTACATGCGGGCAGCCATGAAAAATCAAACCAAATTAGCCTGCTGGCGGAGGAGGCTGGATTGAGTGGAGGTCACCTTATTCTGCGTGAGTCCCGCCGGTGTCTGCGGCAGTGGAGCTAATCCCCTCGGGCAGCTCAGGAGGTGCCGTTCTGGCAGCGCTCGGCGCGGCGAGCGGAGCTTCCCCTGCGCGGGGGCCGCGCGGGCGGCGCTGGGGCCCGCGTTACGTAAAGGGCGCGCGGCGG